TCTGGAGTGCCTGCAACAATTCTGCCAGGCAGTGGGAAGTAAGTGAAACAGAGTATAGGCAGCATAATTAAACTTCGACTAAACCAAGGGCCACAGCAACTGAGTATCCCGATCATCAGGTTGTTTTGTTTTTCTGCCCCATTGTCTCATTTCTTGGCCGTCTTATCTTCCATTATCTCGCCTATCGTATACAGGTTTTTCCCTGAAATCACTAAACCTTTGGAAAAGTTTATAGTCATGATATGTATTTACCCTATTTCGCTCAAGATTATGCAGGACTGGTAGTTGAATTTTTCCACAATCATATGAGTAGGCCTTAACGTGACGAGAGTATACGCTGTACTAAATGGAAACAACTACGTCCACAAACCGATTTTGCAAATTATCATACATACAACGGAATGCGGATTAGTTGCGTCTGAACGCTTTTCCTAATTGGCGACTGAAATTGGTTTTGCAATCCATAAGGTTTGCGGAAACCAGTTGAGACAATAAATGAATTTTACGAACTTTGAAAAAATTAGGAAAGATGGAATACGCCCCAGTTTTCATTCACACTTGTTGCTATCGGGCAACTATTTAGAGAGACGTTAGATCCGTCAATCAAATTAGACTGCTAGAAAAAGCCGCGTTTTCCTGATCGTCCTCAGGGCTGTAGACAAGACTACCCGTATAGCCTGTTGAGCCCAAAGTCCCAAGGTTGCCTAGCATACTTCAGATACAGTCCCAGACTAAACAGTATGCATGTTACACCGCAACAGCAATCATACGCAAGCCATCTGAGGCCAATAAAATTAGGTGACAAAAGTCATGTGATTGATACTAATAAAAGAGAAGTTATACTGAGACTTAACTGGTATAATCTCATTTGTGGTGTTAGTCTTCGTATGCATATAAAAAAACATTTAAATGCCTGCATTAGGGGGTCAGTTTAGACGTCCTGCTCATCCATTCAGCCAGACGAACCCCATCCACCAAATAATTGCATTGATGCGTTTTATTCAATAGAAGTCAATTACATCGTTTGATACTTGATGCTTGGTGTAGAATACTTGAAGCGGATAACATGCATATTCTCACTCACGCATATACACACATGATAAATGAGCGCGTGAGCACATAAAAATCCAGGTGCAAATATAGACCAATCTAGACTATATAAAGAGAAGGGAATGATGGGCCGGTTAGGTTTCATAATTTAGTGTTATTTTGATGTTGCTATAATAATAATGTACATTCTGACAGACGGAATCTCGGCCTGATGCTCCTAAAACTAGAGGGTTGTGCAATAAGCATCACATCGTCATAAGCTTTCCACTCTACGATTTTTTTAACTTCACATCCTGACAACAATTGAATGTCAGCAACCAATATATGCTTCTTTATGGGTAGGATCCAGACCAATCGTCTGCAAAGGTGTAGAAATTTCTCCAAGCACTTCTGGCTATGTAAGCTGGACTCCAGTCCAATCTCCATGTGACGATGAAACTGGCCAGTTGAAAAGCCTAAAATTGTGTTAAACCAGGTTCCGAAGTTGATAACTGTCCTTTCCACAAACCCATTATTCTATGATTCGGGGTAGGCCTGGTCAAAAGCCTCGTCGTCATGCTGAATTAACGTGGGCCAACACCTCTGCCACCAAAGTAGCCCAAAGGATTAATGTACCAATCCCCCTTTCCACCATCCTTTCCTAGCTCCATGTAAAAGCCACACGACTCCATGCGCCTGGTCACCGAGCCTCGAGAAACTGACGTGACCAAGCAAGGGGCCAAAACTACTTATAAAGGCGCTAAGTGTTTGGAGTGCACCCTTACCTATCAACCGATGAGAGGACGCAGTTGTGGTGCCAATCCCCCTTTCCACCATCCTTTCCTAGTTCCATGTAAAAGCCACACGACGACATCTTGGCTAGCCAAGATCGCAAGATCGGATCCCACAATGCTTATCAGAGTTTGGTGGACCCATCTTGTGTAAATAGGAATAAAAGCTGGATTTCGAAGATTCTCTTAATGAATTAGTAACTCGAATTGTGCTATAGAAAGAAACTTTGGTTGAAATGAATTGGTGAATTGTTGTTACCGGAAACTGAAGAAGAATTGATAGTCGTAGAGGGGAGACTAGGATTGTGTGAACAAGCCCACGGCCTACGGTCTCGTGCCAAGTTGGAGTCTATGTGAGAGACATCGCCAGATTGAAAAACCGTACTTTACGAAATAACACACAAATATACTAAACCAAGTGTGGTCTCTTGCCATGACGGTGTCTATCATGGTTTCCTCTGGGTCGAAGGACAGTGAGCCGATAACTTGTTCGCACAATCCAATAGTCTTGACTCCAAGGCAACCTTCATTCGGTTTCCGGTGACACCAATTCACTAATTCATTCCAACCACTTTCTCTTACAAAATGAAAATTATAGTCTTTTTCTCTATTTTGCCGTAAGCCTTACAAAGGTGAGAACAGCCGAAGAAAGAAAAATTGTTTCGTTGTGGTTTTACCACGTTTTCACAGCTTGTTCGTGATGGCATGATGGTCTCGATGAATGCACCTTTTCCTGAGTCTTCTGTCCGAGTAGTCACGACAATTTCCAGCGGCGGACACTCGACTTGTTACATTCCCAAAGGTTTCGCCGGCGTCGTCAGCTCGCCCTGTAACAATTTGTGGCTTGTTCCTAAGACTGAAAGGGTTCACTAATGATGTCGACGAAACGACCGGAGATGTACTAGGTCCACGATCCGACGCCGGAAATGGTCATGATTAGTGTAGCAGAGGACTTCGGACAAGGTGCCTTGACGATAGGTCGCGAAAACGCGGTGAAACCACTTCTGTACGGCGAAAGGGGACTGGGGCCAAAACAGAGCCCCAATTGGGCCTGGCAGAAACTGACATTCAATTCTCGGTGGACCACGCCTGCGAACTGAGTGCATCTCATGCCATGTAACCTGATTGGCAAATTCACAAGGCTGGCAAGTACACCTTCAGGCGTGTGTACGCTCAGGCACAAAAAACGCCAGCCTGGCAGAAAAGGGAAGACTACATCTGACACGCAACTGCACTACTCACGGCGCAAGCTCATTCGGCGGATCGATAGAGTCCCGAAGCTTGCCAGATGAAAGTCTACTTTCGCCGCCTCGCCAGCCCTGAAGCGAGCTACACGGTTAGGCAGTTGCGCTGGCGAAGGCCACCGGACCAATGACTCATCCTCGAGAGGCAGCCTTGCCTAATAGACAGAGGCGAGTGAAAGCCGAGCATCGATCGATTAATTTAAATACCACTCGGCTGCACCACCGAAGCTGGTCGGAGTCTGGCTCGACTGAGCGCATTCACCTGCCAGGCGAGCAGGGCCCAGTTCAAACGGTTTGTAAGACAATAAAAAGCAGGAACTGATGTCTTGTGTGGGAGGATGAGAGGGATATTCGCGCCCCAGAGTTAACGGATTGGCAGTACCTTGAGGCAGACGCACACACAGCTTCTTCCTACAAAAGGAGTACCCCTAATCTCAACACAAATAAAACAAAATGGGTTGACCGCGTTTTTGCAACTTGGTCTTGTTGTCAAGACGAGTCAGTTAGATGCACCTTGTCCGAAGTCCTCTGCTGTAGTAGTTATCATAATTCCAAATGTCAGACCG